TATATATATATATGAAGAAAGGAGAACTGGAGAAAGAATGGGGAAAAGAGAAGGACAACTGAGCACATGTAAAGCAATACTCACTATTATGCCATTGTGGTTTTTTCCTGCTTTCAGTTTTTAAGCTTTTCAGAGAATCTTGCAAATGACTTCTTAATGCCATGGTGAAGACACATAATGAAACTAGTTAGCCTGAGCTGAGATGGGAATGGATGGCCACAGAGGTTTTCCTATTTATTATTCCATCACCACTAGGATGTTTACAAGTAAGGAAAAGAGCACATCATCCTTTAGCTGCGATCGCACTTTCTCTTCATAAACAGAACATCCAGAGCGCTGCAGCTCGGAGTGCTCTAACCATAACAGTGGTTGCCTTAGTGCCGCCGTCCCTCTGTGACTCAGCTCCCTGCTCACTGTTAACAGCATATTCTATGAAAGGCACTTTTGTTTTTATGTACTTACTAGGAACTTTTTTAAACCTCTAAGAAATCCTATTTGTAACATGCTTTAAGGTACTCAACATTAGTTATAAAACAAACATTAAGTACGAAATACTTAACCAAAATAATAGAGCAGATAGCAAAAATCTTTATCATAGCTCGTCAGATGCTGAGCTTTAAAACCACCAAATGTAAAAGGAAGTCGACCCAGATCTGCTGTTTATAGAGCTGCTAAGGTACCATGTTAATTGCTCTTCTGTGATGCTAAATGACATTGTGGTGCATAAATGAATGAGTCATAGAGAGTTTGTGTATAATAAATTTTGACAAGTAGTATATACTCTCCTTAGTCCATTAAATTTTTTTAAACTACTCTTACCCCTTTGTTTCCGTGTATCTTACAAATACATATATTTAATTACCAGAGTGTGTGTGTACTTGCCAGAGAGAAAGCGAGAAAGCACCTTGTAATGGGGCATGATTGTGCCACAGTTCTCACTCCTCCGTTTCTTCATCCTGTCAGCACCTTGAACATACAAAATACACGCACTTGGTGTGTTCCCCCCTCCCCCCCCGGCTGCCAGGGCCAGTGCTTGAAATGTGGTCAGCTCTGTGGAGCCCAGCTCCCAATGCATAGCTCTTCAGCACTCTGTGTGTATCTTAAATACATTTAGAAACATTATATTTAGATTAGAAACAGTGAAAACATGATGAACAATAGGTCCAAAATCGTGGGTTTTGGTAGGCTTTGAGCCTACAGCCTCAAAAACTCTGTGCTAAAAAAGGACTTTATTGCCAAATAAATTGGAAAATACCTCCACTACAGTAACCCTCTTTGCTGATTAAAGTAATATATATTTTGTGCTTAATATGTATCAAGCATTGGGCCAGCAGGTGACTTGGAGGCTAAGGCAGTTGGATCCCACATGTTGACTGCATGGTTCAAGTCCTGGACCTGGTGGCGTGAAAATCATGCTGGACAACTGTGCGTACATGTGTAAAATCCCAAGAAGAGAATGGAGGAGAAGGAATTGAGATGTAGCTGTCCTCTTGAGGGTGGGGGTGATTTTTCACATTCTCCCTCGCTTTTTGTTTCTGGCGAGTGCAAGAGCCCTGTAGCAAAACTACACACACACACACACACACATACACACACACATATCAGTTATTTGACTAACTGCTCTATGTGTATTCTTTCCCATAGTCTAATCTTCCTAATGACCCTAATGATAGAGGCTTTTTAATTGTTTTTTTTAATTTGATGTAGGGCACAGGTACTCACCAGAGAGAGACAGAAAGAGACCTCACAATGAGTAAGCATCCCCTGGGGGGATGACCACGCCACAGTCCCTTCTCCTGTCAGGA